CGGGGGAGGAAGGGCGATGCTTTCGTGGTATCGTCACGTGTCTCTTCAAACTGCATATACGTTCCGATCGATAGAATATTTTGTTTTTAGGAATAAATTATATCACTTCTCCATATTGATTCTCTGCTCTTGTGAAAAATATATGCGCTTAAAACGGCTTTTTCAATAACGCTGATATATGTCAAGCATAATCGGCCGTTATTAATTTAGAGTGGTTTTCTTGATAACCTGATATCATTTAGTATATCCTACCTTGTTAAAAATATATGTTTCGAACGAGTTTTCTAAGCATAATTGTTTTTTAGTCGGAATAGTCAATGTTGCAGTACGTCCTCAATTTCATTTGGCTTCATAAATGTTAATTGCATTTTAGATGGACTGAAGCGGTGTTCATTCCGTTCAATATTAGAAAATATAACGAGGTTATTATTTATACAAACACTGATGGACGCACCACCTTTAAATTTGAATTTATTTACGTTTATTCATGTTGTCCATATCAAAAATGAACATTTAACAAAGAAAATGTTTGTTACCTATTTCCAAAAAAACAAAATAGTATTAGTAAATAACCAAAAAATTTAACAAAAATATTAAAGAGTAAAGATTTCTGGTAAAATCCTGAGGAATTCTTTCCTAATCATCATGACTAGCGGTTTCCAACTATTCTATAGTGTTTTCTGTCGCTTAAGTTGGTCCCAAATGTTAAGTTGGGTTGAAATCAGGGCTTCGAGCTGTACACTTTAAACACTCAATTCCACCTTATTCAAGTGGTCATCCACGTGCTCTATGTGGACTGGCATGTTCCTGCAATACCAGGGATCTCTCACCGATATGAGAGGAAAACCAATCTATATGTTCTTCGATTATCCCTTGTAAGTACCTCTGTGAAGTTATGGGAATCTTCTTCGCACAACAAACAATTCGGTGCGGGTGTCCATGGAAATACCACCTCAAAAACATCAACGTCGCATTTTGATAGCTCCTAATTACCAGTAACTAATGTAGAAAGATAATGGATTTAATTTTAAACTAAAAAAATTGTGTGATGAGTTAAATATGAACGTTTCAAAAAAGGAAAAAATAGTAACGTATATAATTTTGCTGAACAATTAGACGACATTGTATTGGAAATATACTGTTACTATTATTAGTATTGTTATCAGTTAAATTGCATTTACATTAAAAAATTTATTGTTTTAAATGTGTTTGCTATAGTTAATTAATAACGTTAATAAGTTAAACTTAATCTTAATTGGAATCATTTCTTCCTGGCACGTAATTTACATTCTTGAAAATTCTTAAAATAAATATTTTTCCGTAAGTGTTATTAAAAAAAGATCTAATTAGAACGTAATTTGCTACGTAAACCCAGAAAAATAATGAGTTTAATTTTATTGCATTATATGGATGTTTGGTGAGCTGTCTGGTGTGATGTAGGTTTCAGAAAAACATTTTCTTTATCGTGCCAACGTTTCGATCTTAATTGAGATCATCTTCAGGGCCTGGGATTTACAAACATTGTTACATATTACAATTATATTTTCGATGTGGAAAAGTGAATTTATACAATGCAAAATATATTTTTTTATATATTCAATCAAAGTATTTCTACTTACTCAAAGTGTTTGTCTTCTGTGTAATTGTGCCATTCTTGCGTGTCGTGTCGAGAGTGCCAATGAGATTTTGCTATTTTGTGTTTATATACGTTGATTTTGAAGGGGTGGGGAAGGATTTCGGTATAGAAAAGACCTAATCACCACACACACACACACACACACACACACACACACACACACACACACACACACACACACACACACACACNATATATATATATATACACTATTATATAGTGTAGTAGACAAGTATAAAAGTTGAATGTGGTTGTTGCTTCTTTTAACCTTATGTTCATCTTATAATTGTAATAACAGTTTCTCTCTCTCTCTCTCTCTTTTCTCTTTCTCCTTTCTCTCTCTCCTTTCTCTCTCTCTATTCATATACCTACCTATTTATCTATTGGCCTATCTATCTATCTACCTTTCTTTCTATTTCTATATCTATCCATCTCTCTCTCTTTCTCTCTCCCTTTTTACCGTTCTTTTCTCCTCTTTCTTTCTCTCTCTCTTTCACTCTCACTCATTATTATGTCTACCTTTCTCTCAATTCTTCCTCCTTATCAAATTTTGAATTGCTTACCTTTGCTCTTTCCTCTCTCTGCCTTTTTTGTTTCTCTTTCTCTTACTTTCACTTATTCTCTCTCTCCCTATATCTCTCTCTTATTCTTTCTATCTCTCCCACTTCTTTTTGTCTTTTTTCCTTCTTCTTCCATATTTTTCTCTAATTTTCCTCTCAGTCTCTCTTTTTTCTTTTCTTCTACCTTTTTTTATCATCTCCTTCTCTGAACTCGTTTCCCTCTCTATCGAGCTCTCTATTTCGCTCGACCACATGTTTATTATTCAAAACATAGCCTTGTTGGTAGAAATATCCACATGCTTCCGTTTTCAATAAATTCAACTAACCATAAAAAATAAAATAATATAAATAAAACACAAATTTTATCAATTCGAAATCGCTTGGGTTTCCACGTGTTCTGCATATTTCTATAAACACGGCTGTCTCGGGTTTTCAATTTGCTCGCTCCTAGAGAAGAGGAAGAGAAGGAGAAAAATGCCGGCTTTAAATGTGGAATTCACTTCCACGGGAGGAACAGTAAACTCGAGAATTGCTTTGAGGCCTCATTCTTGCTATGCCATCAAGGAGAATTGCATAGAAAATTAAGTCTACGTCTCTTCTTCTACCCTAGCTCGATATTGTCAAACGGATTCCTTTTCTTATTTTCCTTGCAATGCAGAAACAAAAAAGAAAGGACGTAATGTTTAAAATTAAATTTATATTTCTTCTTATCACATTACGAATAAGTGGTTTTCTTTCCTCTCTAAAACGTGTTTTTATCATTCGAAAAACATATACTTGATCGTGTTACATGCAATTTCAACTCCTTTCTATTCCAAAAATTTCGTCCACCCCTTTCGTTTTTCTGTTGCGCTTCACTGAGTGTCAAAAAAGTAGCCACCCTTAATATTGTAATTCTCCCTTAGACATTCCTCCCGATTATCTTATAACAATATTTGGACAGTTTTAAAAGATTAGAGGTAAGATAAAATCTTCCAGTTTTGTTTACAATTGGATTTTGTAAGTAAATCTATCAAGCTTTTTTTAACGTTCCGGTGGTTCGATTTTTTTAAAGTTGTCTCATTTTTAAATTTCCAATTTGGTTGAGAGATGCTTTTAAATGATATAGATTTGGTTATAAGGATAGCATTATCGTAAGCAAGCAATATTCCTAGAATATTTGTTCAAAGTGTCTTCCATCGCTACCATGATATGGAGATTAGTCAAGAAGGCATGGATCAGGTCGGCATCGTGTCACATTTCAGAGAGATGATCTTGTAATTGTTTCTAATGTTCGCTGGTGCGATCAAACAAAGACTTTAACATGTTAAAAATGTTAATGTAAATTTACGCGTAAATTTCGCGTGTAAGGCGAAGAATTTTAGAAGTTGGATTAGGTGGGAGAAGGCCAGCCACTGTTCCACAACCTCTGACAGGGCGCATAAAAGCTCATTTCAGTTACGCAAAAAATTACATCAATTGGTCTGAGCAAGATTGGACTACAATCTTCGGATGAGGCAGGGTTTTGTAACAGGTCCTTCTGACGGCGTAGAGAGGGTTTGGAGAAGAACAGAAGAGCGATATATCCCGGCATCATCTTCACATCGGAGAAGCCATGAAGGTTATGTTTTTGGCAGGCCCTTGTATGGAAGTTCGCACAAACTTGTTCTTCATCGAGTTCCATTACAGTAGGGGATACATTGATGTTATGTTATCAAAAGAGGTTTTTTTGTATGACACCCATTGACGAAGGTTTATTTTTATTCATGACAATACAAGGCGCCACACAGCTACGATAGTATCGGTGGCTTCTTGGAAAGGGCTTTTATTCTATGTTTGGAATTAAGAATGGCGCTGTTGGAGAAGTATAAAAATATTCCGCAGGACTATGTTCAAAACTCATAAAATTAATGCCATGTCGAAAGCAAGCTATAATCAACGCGAGGGGATAAAAAAAACTCAGTACTCAATTGAATATTTTCTTCGTTCTTTCCTTAGCAACAATTTTGGTAAAATTGTTTTACTCAAATTAATTTTTTATTTAGTTATATCTCGTATATATTTTAATATCCAGTAAACAACCAAAAATAAACATTATAACGATTGCAAGTATTTACTAAAAAATGAGGGTGGCCATTTTTTTTTTTTTTTTGCCTCTCAGTGTATATCCGACTAGCCCCTCTCAAATGGAATATTCTTGCGTCAGTGACAGAAGACCTGGTTGAAATACGGTAATATCCCTGCTTTTCTACAGAGGGTAGGTTTGCTGTAACAGCAGAAGGGTGGGTCATTTAACTGTAACAAATGGGACTTATTATTATTTTTCCTTCGGTTTAGAAAATAAATTTATAAATTTAACTTCGACCATTTCAAATATTATTCACCACAATATGGTTTTTTTAATATGTAATAGTTAGTAATTTATAAAATTTACTTCACTTATGATTTACGCTATAAAAGATATACGATAAAAAACCAAAAACCGTCCGTGGTCGCAAAGGTAAACGTGTCACGGCTTAATCACTGTAAAGTAAAGGTCCCGAGTTCGAATGTAGTGGCACTGATTTACTTACAAATTTTTTTTTTTCAAAAACACCGACACCCGATGGTTGATATGACCTCTAATATTGAGAACCCTCGTGCATATTTTACATTTATATATATATATATATATATATATATATATATATGTATGTATATATGNTGTGTGTGTGTGTAGCTATCCTATCATATACCGTTAGAAACATAGACACATGAAAAAATCTATGTTTAGAGGAAATATTGTTTCAAGAAATGTTCATTGATTATTTTATGTTGCAGTTCCTGAAAAAGACATGCAGTTAACATTTACGCAAAATGAATCCAACGTCATGGTGAAATGCTACGCTGAAGGCGTGTACCCAGAACCAAATATGACCATCTCAGCTGGCGATATGTAAGTGTTCATTTTCGTCGAAAATATATTATTTAAAATGTCTGTGTAAGTTTAACTAAATAATCGTTTTATGACTTTAATGAGGCAATTTGTATTCAAACAAGAATATCTTGACAAACGAGTCCTTGGTAATTTACAACAGGAGATGCGACTTGTGTATCTATTATTTTTAATTGGTTTTGCTTATTTCTTTAAGTAATCTTTTGCGAGAGTTCGCAACAGGAGAAGTCAGAACAATTTTCCCGATTGACAGTTGGTACAGTTAGTATGTTAGTATATGATGGTCATACAATTTACTAAGTACAAGAATTATAGTACCTAACGAATTATAGGATAAAGAGAACAACTGTACACAGAGTTCTCTTGAATTTTATTTAAATTATTTAAGCCCACAGTCAAAAATTTTGAGATTGTTTTGTCCTAATGATGACCTTAAGTCGAAAGCTTGGCAGTAACAACTGATTATGCGTTCTTATCAGGACCATACCGCGAACCAGAGGATATGTGATAATAAATTTGCAAATTTGTTCATTTTGTTTCATATGGGATGTGTAACTTTGAGACTCTTCAGTCGTCGTTTTAAAATTCGTAGATAATTGTTTTGGTTTGTGTGGTTTTCATTTAACCTAAACCATTTTTTAGATAAAAAACGATAAACGGAATTGGTTGCAATTTTTGATTAGCCAATTTAAAAATGATTCCAAAATGTAAATGCGCACATTTATTACAATTCTCCAATTTTGTTCCTGTTTGTATGGCCTGGTAGTTCAACATTTAAAACAGTATCAATAAAGGATTAATATTTTTTGCTAATAATTTTGTTAAGTGTTGAATCATTCTTATTATGTTTGCAAACGACAGCACAACAGTAATAAATATTATCAATAAATAAATTGTAAATGATTCATATGTCTATTCTTTGTCTAATACAAAAATGGTAGGCAAGCTAAGCAAATTGTGAAGTTTTCCAAGTTGTTTGCGTGGTGATGAATTTGAAATTCGGTACTTACAAAACAATTTGTTATGCCGAGGTTTTTTGTGGGTGTTCTTTCAGAGGAGTTTCTGCATTTTGTAATCTTCACTGCGTCTCTGAGATAAGCACACTACATGGCGAAATGCCGAAACCTGTCTGACAGAACTCAGGGAAGATAAGGAGATGGATATAATCGATATTTCAAAGCAACCCAATATTTTTGTTTTATGATTTAACTAGAAAATGTTTTAAATATTTTTTCATACAATATTTCAAAAAATTAAAAATAACTTACATCCAAAAAATCAGTTATACATGTATAAGTTTTATGCCGTAACAACTTTTTTTATATACCTCCTAAAAAAATACCAACCGACTGGAAATGTTTGAACTATACATGGTGTATATTTTAGATGGCCCGGCTGAATTTCTGTTGAAACAATGACGCTAGATAAATAAATAAAACGAACACAAATTTAAAAAAAAATATATAAAACTAAAAATTAAATTATACAGGGTTTACATTTATTAGGTTTCGTGTTTCGCTTGACCAAATAAATTCTTTTCAATTAATTAAGGTTTTCGTTTAGATAAAACAGTCAGTGTCACAAGCGGGATTCGAACCCACGACCTTTGGTTAGAGACGCCGCTACTCTACCACTTGAGCTAACGTGCCTTCAAGAGGGCAAATTCGAACGGTTGTAGGTTGAGATGTAGAGTTGGTGTCATAGAGAATCGAAGTCACGATAGCTCAAGCAGTAGAGCAGCGGCGTTTTGAGCCAAAGGACGCGGGTTCGAATCCCGCCTGTGACACTGACTTTTTTATTTCAACTGAAACCTTAATTTATTAAAAATTATACAGGGTGCTCTGTTTAGATGGCCCGGCTGAATTTCTCTTGAACCAATGACGCTATAAAAAAAACTACGTGATCAATATTGTCCAATCTAGTTTTAATTTTACCTTTTACGAAAAAAATTATTCATGGTACCTCAGGCCTACTTCAACTTCAAAAGTCCCACTACGATTTTGTACATCCTGACCAATCATTTTGAAGGATATTTCACGTTGAAAACAATGGTGCAATTTGATTTTATATTGGTCAAATTATAACAAAGTTATGGCAAAATGTTTGAAAAAAATTGATTTGCAACGTTTTACACACATTTCATGTTCGAAATGCAACGATGTAAGGATTTTCTCTTTTTAACCTCTCTTCACCTGTGCTCAGAGCGATGGAGTCAGGAGAGATTAATTGACAAGCATTTTTTTATCCTTTGTCGCAGTTTTCAACTGATGTTGCTGGATTATGATTGGCGTAGACACTGTTTTTTAAATGGCCCCTCCAAAATAGTCAGGTGGAGTTAAATCGGGTGACAGAGCAGACCAAGAGATGGCATGAGGTCTTTTCCTTCTATTCCGGAAGTGACGATTTAAATAACGTTTCACCTCAAAAGATTGTGTGCGGGTCATCCATCAGCATGAATCATTCTTGGTCGTTGTCGCAAAGAAACATCATCTAAGGTTGGTCAAACCTCCTTCAAAAAATTGAGGAACTCAGCTCCATTTAAAATATTTTCGTCGAAATAAGACCCAATTAATTTATTTCCGAGAGGTCCACGCCAAATGTTGATACTGTGATCCACCTAATGACGACAAGAATACGAAATTCTCGGATTTTCCTCTGCCCACGTTCGAAAATTCCAACTGTTCCATTAGAGGTGAACTTGGATTGATCAGTCCGTAGGATGTAAGGGAGAATGTTTTCTTGAGGCCTCCCAAATCGACATTTGTGCAACGTACGTTAGACACCTGTCATAATCAGAGTGCCGAAGCCCGTGGTCAAGATGAGAGCGATAAGGCTTAAAATTGTAAATCCGAAGTACATCTCTAATTTTTTTCCAACATTTTGAAAAGAGGAATTTGGATTTTTGCGAACATAAAGTACAAAACAGTAAAATATTCAGCTCCTCGTCGAAATTACGTTGCCATTTTTTTTCCATAACTTCCGTCATTTTGATCAATTTAAAAACCGGCTGTACCATTTTTGTCAGTGTAAAAAGTCGTTTAAAAAGATTTGCCAGTATATATTCGCTGGTATTTGAAATTTTAAGTTGAACTGGGTCTGAAGTAACCAGTATAATTTTTCTACAAAAAATGTAAAAATTTGGGTCTAGATTAAAAAATGTTTCCTTCTGTGGTCTGTGATATGCCCAACTACCAATGAGATGAAACAAACACAAAACCGACACACACTCATTTCATTGAAATTGGGGAAATGCCGAAATACGTCTGAGTGGCAAACCCCGGGAAAATAGGAAAATCAAAATGACTGGTATTTATCATATTGGAAATTTATATTTAAGATAGAGTAGGAAAATTAACAAATTAAATAATTTATATTCCTCTGAATCTCAAATAACCAATTGTTTTGACGTTTTCAGTTGAATAACTTATTCCTTCCTAAACCTAACTTGTGTAAAGGTGCAAAAGTGAATGTTTTGAAAGTGAGTGGATGTTCGAAGAAATGAAAAATATACACAAAAAAATTAATAGCCGTTGGCAGTACGTAAACACTTAACCCATAATCATAATAAATAACAGTGAAACATATGTCAGAACAAATAAATTTTCCGACAGACGACAAAATTAAATGGGTTTTTGTATTAACTTTAGTGCCCGCCAGGCCTGAATTTAAAACAAATTAAATATTTACATTTACATATTGGCTTAATTGATTTTTAGATAATAAATTTACGTATTTATTGAACATTTGGGATTTCATTGGGTTTCTGATAAATAACTAATTGATGTAGAACTATCTCGAATCGCTAAAGTAGAAATGACATTGAACCGGTCATAGAATCGTCACGTAGATAACATAAACCATAATAAAAAACATTAATATAACGGTCCCGTGTACGATTCCAGCACCCCAATATTGGAAATCAACATACTTACGAATTTTTGAATAATAGTAAAGCGCAAAATAAAAATGTATTAATAAATACAACTATGTAATTAAAAACTAAAAACTAATTTAAACAAATTAAAAAATATATAAATAGGATGTTCTAAATTTCCAATTTGTAACGTTTCTTGTTTTTAAATAACCAATATAGCGTTGCTCTCTGAGTATATGACATTTTGAGGGACACCAACATGATAGCACCAAACAATTACTTAGGAAGGAGGTCAGGTTGAAATAACATTTTGTTCCCACCAGAACCCAGTATCGAAATAGAATATATTTGATAGTGTTCTCCAATATGCAAAACGAGTGGAAAACATCATCCCCGACCACTGTAGCTTGTTCCCCCTAATCAATTTGCTGTAATTTGCGTTTTAACGCAAAGGTACAACCGTTTTTCACTCACGTTTACCGCCTGAAAATTATAATTAACCAATGAACGGCTCCCACTACAATTATGGGTAAATTAACTCAAAAATGGATTTTACATATAAACATACATTTTTAATGTAAAAAGACACATGTTTATACCTATCTGCGTGAACTAGTTGATTTTAGTAGGCATGTAAATAAGTAAAATCTTAAATAACGACAATAAATCGGACAATTACTTAAATTATTTGAATATTATATAATACCGAATGTTCGTTAGTTTCACTATTATTATTTGATTAATTAACTTTTTTAGTTGAGATAAAAAAAGTCAATGGCACGAGCGGGATTCGAACCCACGATCTTCGGCTAGATACGCCGCTGCTCTACCACTTGAGCTATCGTGACCTCGATCCACTCGGACACTAACTTCCCATCTCAACCCCACCTTTTGAATTTTCGAATCCCGCTCGTGCCATTGACTTTTTATCTCAACTAAAAACCTTAATTAAATGTAATATATTAATTGGTCAAGCGGACCACGAAATTAGTGAATTTAATGATTTAAAATGAAGTATACTACACTAATGCTCTCCGTGGTCATTTCATTTGTCGTCGAGAATCCAATCCGATTACACGACATTTGAAAAATGGCAAAATGGAGGGAAAATTCAAGAGAGAGAGAG